CGAGCCAGCGAGATGTTGCGGCGGAAGGCCATTAGGCCATCGACGAGGCTGAAGTTCTGGACAATACAGTTAGCACAGAGTAGAATATAATATGGGGTAGAAAAGGATGCTTACCCCGAACATGATCACGGCCTTGGTTGCTTTCAGCCATGACTGCCACTTGTCCTCCTTGAACCGCGACCCGCTTCACGCTAACCACATCGACTGGGTCTAGAGGGTATGAGGTGGGAACACGCAGGGAGATGGTGGCAGCGTCGTCATCGACTGGGTACCCGGCACTGATCTCCCGCGCGGCCTTGCTGACCTTGACGATGACTTCTTCCGTATCGTCGTCTGTTTTCTCCTGCTTCGACGACCATTCAACCACCTCGTCCAATGCGTCTGCGATGACGAGTGGCGAAAAGAACCTCTGCATCCAGGTCTGAACGGTGTTTTTGGTTTGTTTTGAAGGGCACTCAAGGTACCACATCTTGAACAAACCGGGGATGTATTTGAGGATGAGGTAGAAGAGATGGATCAACAGCCAGTTCATGTCACGCTCGGCTGGTTCTGACTCTGCAAGGTCGATGCTGTAAGAAACGATGTGCTCCGCCGTGAAGCCTTCCTTGTCGAGGTCAAGCGCCCGGGCAAGAGCATGCCCGAGAACGTCGACGAGGAAGCGAAGTAAAGGATCGAGATGCCGGCCGCTCTTGATATTGTCCGTGTAGTCGCTGCGGACTCGGAAGGAAGCTTTGCTGTAGGCATCGAACACCAGATGCCACGCCAACAAGTATGAACGGATGCTGACTGGGAACTGGGCAAGGTCTTCGTCGGTATAGTCATCGGGGTTGGGGGCGTTGAGAAGTAGCGACAGTAACTCGTCCGGCAGATTAGCGGCTATTGACGTTAGCATATCTCTCTTATCCGTCGGTGAATGATAGTTACCTTTCTTGTCTATCACAACAGAAATGTTGATATCCTCCTGTGCGGCAGGCAGAGCTTTGTGGAGCAAGCCAAATGCCGCCCTCTGTATCTCTCGGGACTCGGAAGCCACGGCTTCGTAAATATCATCAAGATCCTCAAGCTGCACGTTGGAAATCTTGCTCACGGTTCGCGCAAGGAGCGAATCAACGAGCTGGCTAGGCTGGCTTGCGGTTGACTCGCGCGGAAGACCGAGAAGCGCAATAAGTCCAGTCACTTCGGCCTCTCTATGGTTTGAGAGGGCCTCTTCAAGGTCGTCGTTGGGTTCCTCGACGGCGCGAAGCGCCCGAATCAACTTCAACGAAGCGTACAGGTATGGCAGTCGTTCCACCGGAGAATCTTCAGGGACCCTGTTCCATAGCCAAATGCAGTAGTTGATGGCTTGATCCCAGTATGAACCATACGTGTCCTTCGTGCCGGGAAGAATACGAGCGATGGCCTTGCAGATTTCAGCAGCGGGTTGGTACCCCAGCTCTTCTGGTATATTTGCCCACTTGGTAAACTGCTGAAGGGCAAGAACCTGTTTTCGGGTCTCGACCGGCACTTCACCGGCCTCATACACATCGAGGCAAAGATTGAGTAACACCAAGGACGGAAGAGCGCGAGGAAACCGATCAGAGAACGCGGGGAAGCCTGGTATCTCGCTGATGAGACGAGCACATAGCGTTGCGGTTACCTTGGACGAGACTAGCGCCTCACCAAACCCGGTAAGGAAGGCAGCCGTGATCAGGGTGGTGTTGGGCGCAGCCTTCATTACCCCCAGTTTGACGAGCCACTCCTCGAGTATGGCTGGGGTGCCACCGTGGGTTTGGACTAGAAGTTGGAGAAGGGAACTCAGACACTTGGCGGCGTAGAACGCAGGCGGGCTCAGGCCAATGCTTGCGTGGAGCATGAAGTTGATCAAGCGCTCCACCAAGGAATCACCGGACATATTCCAGTCTGCCCAGTTCCCACAGTCGGCAACGACGGCGCGGACTGCCGCTGAGCTCAGGTCGCAGAATTCTTGCACGTCCGCTTCTGTTTCCGACCCACCGCTCCACAAGCCGGCTGCTTGCCCAGCTGAAAGCTGGTCTCCAACGATGGCTTCTGTAAGACAGAGGAGGTAGACAAGCTCCAGTTGGAACTCCGGTGGTACGGAGGACAACTGAACGCCGGACGATAGAAGCTTGGCGGTGAACAGAGCCATCCTGGCGGGGATGGATCGCCCACCGCTGTCCCGACCAGGTATGGGTGTTGTGGCGTTCGGATTCCCTTGTACCAGGAAGTATGCGCCTCCCATGCTGCTCGCCAATGACAAGGATGGATTTGGAGGTCGGGCGAGGAAGCAACCAAGCTCGTTCATCCACACCGTTGAACTCGGGAAGATATCCTCTGCCGGCACAGCCCCGGATGTGAGAGCGGTCAGGGCTTGTTGGACAAGGGTGTGTACCTCAAGAGAAGCAGGGCCAGCTTCACTGAGATGGTTCTCTAGAATCCTGGCGACGTGACTTTGTCCGGTCGGTTGCTCGTTAAGCAGCGACTTTAACTTCTTCGCCTTTTCAGATAGCCCAGCATCGGAAAGCTCGGTCAATGCGAGAAGGCCAGTAACCAGCCGCACATGCAAGTCATCGTTTGCTTGAAAGAGCTCAGGCCTTTTCTTAAGGGCAAGCTCCAGTGTCACAAGAGCCGACCGGGTTGTTTCTGGAACTTCCAAGTGGGAGACAACGTCATCTGCAATAGCCGTCCAAGATTCCTTCGTTAGAGTGTCGTAGGACAAAGTGGCCTCGCAGATATCCTTGAGAGCAGGCAAGCCCCCACCCTTAGCATGCTCATTCCACGCAGTGACTAGGAATTTCTGAAGAGCGGGGAGATCCTGCGCATACGTAGCGACGGAGGGCACCCCGATGAGTACTCTGACAGCCGAAACAGCCAATGCGCGATCAGAGAGCTCAACAGCTGCCCTAACAAGCGAAGTCCAAATGCTCCCAAAGCGGTTGTCTGTGTCTCCCTGAATAGTATTCAGATCTGAGGCTAGATATGGCAAGGAGGGAGAGGCTGCGATCACCTCATACATTCCGGCCTGGCCCGGCGGATACAGAAGGGACAGCAAGTTGTTGTCGGCACACAAGCGAGAGCAATGCCTGAATGCGGACTGGATGACAGCGGCAGCTCCATAAGGCTTGAAGTTCCTCCTAGTCAACAGGCCAAGGGCACCGTGTAAGATTTCCGTCGAAGCTGCCGTGACCGCAGCGGATAGCGGCAGGCTGTTATCCCCCTCTCGGGACAGGGCGTTAGCCACTAATGCAAACCAGCGTTCGCCTTCGGAAGAAATGGCAGCTTGCGACTTCTGATACCCTTCAGACACCTCGGGCAGAGCGTTGGACATGCGAGAAAGAACAGCGGTACCCAGCTTTTGCCATTCCTCTGCCAATGCTCCGCGTGTGTTTTCGTCAGGATGTTGGGACACTATCGCCCAAGCCTCTGATAGAGGTTCGGGCCGCTGGGGAGATGGTACGGAAGACTCGGCCGTGGGATGAAGGTACTGCCGTGTGATGTTGGACAGGTTCTCCTCCAGGAAACCTGATGGTAAAGGCGATTGACGGAGGAAGATCTCGAACACCTGGGCATAGGATTGGAAGGCTTGGTATCGGCCCAAACGAGTCTCAAGCCTGTCCGCAATCCCTCTCCGCATAGAGCTGAGGAAGCTCGACACGGCCTCTAGGGAAGGCGTGCTCTCCGGAAAGACCCGGAGAAGGCGCTCCAACGACTGCCAGTACTTTTCCGCACCGCCTTGGGAGCCCTGAGCGACGAATTGCTGCATACGCTGTAAAGGATGCTTCTGGGTGCCCCAAACTTGGGGAAACCGCTTTGTCAAGGCCGTCAAGACGTCGAGAAGCTCGGTTGCGGACCCGGGCTGGCTGCTCTTCATGCTGTCCGCAACGAGCGCCTTCCCAATCGATTGTAATCGGGGTTGCAGGATTTCGGGCTTGACCTCGAGCAGTGCGCGAAGTAATTGATAGAACGCTCTCCGAACAAACCCGTCATCTGCTTTCGGCAAGGTCCAAAGAGCATCTACCTGCAAATAATCGGCCAAACCGCTCTGGAGCAAGTCGATGTCTCCCTTTCTTATTAGATGCAAAGCCAAGTAGAGGCTGGCACTAACGGCCCGGTAGTATTTGGCGTCAGAGTCTTGCTTCGTGGTCGACCTTTCGTCGCTTAGCGTGTCTGGGGTCTCTTTAATGACCTCGATTGCGAATTCGAGGGCCCGGGTTTGCACGGCCTTCCAAAATGCTTCCTCTTTCTCCTTTGTTTGTAGGAAAGGACCCAATGCGTCGGTGGCAGCACGTAGAACACGCTTATCTCTATCGAAGGTCCCAGCAAGCCATGGGCCCACGAAGGCCGGCAGTTTCTTGGCCATGCGCTTCTTCGCCGCATTCAGGAGTTGGAAAAGTAGCTGGTGGGAAAGTTCTCTTACTCTGGCAGAGTCGTCGATCGATAGCCGGGGGTAGAGCTCAATCTAGACAATGGTTAGGGACGTGTTGGTAAAAAAGGGGGTTAGATTTAACAACGAACATATGCATCTATTACCGACTCCTCAACAGCTTGCCCAGCGTCTGGCCCAAGACTCTGAACGTAGGAAAGGATGTCTTGCAATGCCTTCTCTTTTGTGGTGCTAGCCTTCTTCGAAAGATTCTTGAACGGTACCACGACCTCCTGTGGTATGGCAGAAAAGTCTGGAGGCGGGGCTAGGTATGAGAGGGTTGTCGACGAGGTTGAGAAGCCGCCGAAGCGACCACCCGCAGCTTTACTCTTGTCGGGAAATGCCATTGTCGTAAATTAAAGGATCGGACGATCAGAGAGGTATGTCGAGAGGCAGCAGGGAAGGCCACGCCAAAGGGTTCTGTTGACGGGTCGTGCTGGTCAGTATGTTGGGATATGTCTGAAGCGAGAGGAGCGTACGGGTAGAAACAAGGCACAGAAGAACGGAACGGTCAGGGCCTACTTTTATAGGTCTATAGTTCTTGCGCGACCCGTGATACACATTGACAAGGTCCTAACTTGGTGCATGTGGAATGCTAGACGCCTGGTGCGGGTTTCTGAGGGTGTCGATAAACAATTGAGATGACGTTGGTAATGCACCTTAATAGCAGGGAAGCATTTGCTCGGAAACGTAGAGGTTGAGCAACCACAGCCTGCTGCAAGTCAAGTATCGCAGGGGAGGTCAGCTCTGATAGCCTCGTCCTTCTAACGGGCCCGGCCGGCGTGACTGATGCGGCAACAACATTTTGGCGGGGTCGCAACGTCCAAGCTCAGCAAAAGTACCGATGTACATATGAGCACGTGATGTGGGGCAGCAAGGCCAGACAACGTGTAAGTTACATTTTGGTACACTCTTACATTGTGAATTATGGCCTTAATTACGCGGCATGAATCTGTTTGCAATCCCCAACCTAAATGCTTCTAAGTTGCCTGAATCAATGCTCAAGTAAGGTACCTAGGTAGCCAGGTAGGTAGTCATTTAACCTGTTCCTAAAGAACCACTTAAATAACATTTAGTATCCCTGGGGATTTGCTGGGCAGTTGAGCAGCATGCCAACCGCAGGATCTTGGGCTGCCGTGCAAGCTTCACGACGACCAGCAGTTGCAGTGAGTTCCAGACATACGAGGTCAAAATCGAGGAGATAAGTCCGAGCATAAAAAGAAAGGAATAAAAAACATGGAAGGAAGCATATTTTTTACTTATTCCATTTGTACAGTCTATATGGAGTTGGGGTCGAAGAAACTTCTTCGTTCCGACACAGGTTGTCCAGCCGTTTCTCTTCGGACTGTGCTGGCCGTCTCTCTGAGGGAGGGGGTTGAAAGCTCTTCTTGGCAATCGTGAAAAATGACATCATAGGTGGGGCTGCTCTTCCCAACCCCTGGCGAGCACCAAGACCACCCCTGGCTTGGACGGGAGAGTCGCCTGCCCTCGCTGTGGTTGATCCCGAGACTCAATCCCAGGAATATCATGCGGGGAAATGCTTCGTTCTTGTGTAGGCTCCTTGGCTAGAAAGGAATTGCATTGATACTGATGGTGAAGCCGGGCACAGCTTGCTTAGGGGCTCTGTTGTTTGGAGTCCTGCGCCCTGGGTACTGTACTCGGCTTGCCCACAACGTGTGCACCTGCTGTCGTTTGTTTCGGCCGGGGACCTCGGTACCTAGGGGGGGTTGGAAAGTTTCAATGTCGGCGGCTATTTCGAGGCTACTCGATAAACGGATAAAATAAGCCGTCAATCTCCTCCTCCTCCCACTGTTTGGACACGTTGTGACCGACGAGCTGACATCCGAAACGATGCCATCGTGAGTGAACCCCCGCCGAAAGTTCAAGGGTCGCTGCGTCCCCCGCAGCCTTCCTGGCAACTGCCTGCGACGTCAGTGGCTGAGTGCCCACAAAGGGTCCACATGTGTAGGGTCTTCCAGGCCGATTAGCCGCAACCGTCGAATCACAGCCAACCAGCCGGGAAAAGCGGCCTACCGGTTGGCTCAAAAGGGAGACCCCACTGGCTGCACGGAGGGTCGATCATCTCCAGGCAAAGTCTCCCGACCTGGAAGTCGCACGATCGCTGGCCCTTGAGGCGCACCAGGTCAATCACTCGAAACGCGCAGTTATTACCTCGGCCCTTCCCGCCCGTCTTCCTTCCTTCTTCCCGCAACCTATTCTACAACACCATCGTTTTTTCGTGATCATTGAAGCCACTTCCGTTCGATATCCGATTCCCTCCATGACATCAGCCTTGGCCAATAGCGGCACTTTCGCATGTAAGTCGACTACTGGTTCCCACGTGTCGGTGAAACTTGACCATGTCATTCTTGCATACCCTTCTCTTCGCCCCTCGCATCGACTAACGATGATGCAAGAACATTAGATAGCCACCGCTCGCCAAGAGCATGTCACTGATACCCTGACCCGTCCATCACCATGTCGTTGTCAGTTGCTTCTACTTTCGCCCGCCGGGGCCGACCCACCAAAACCATTCACCCAGCGGCTCTCGGCTCGCTTAGCACCGCCGCCCCCCACCACTGCCAGCAGACCAGGGGCTACAAGTTTGGTCGATTGGCCTCATACTTGGAATCCTACATTCGCCCAGACATTTACACCCGCCATCATTCCAACGCACAAAAGTACTGCGAAAATCTCTATCGACGGCGAGCGTTGGCCAAGCATGCTTTGGCCGAGGATGCCAAAACGACACTAAAACGGGCCCTCCACACCTACTGGGCTCTGGACCGGAGGGCTCGCCATGCCACAGGGCGGTGTCTTAACACAGACGCTGCTCCAAGGCAAACCCCGGATAACCCAAACGGCGTTCGTCCGGGCCAAAACATCGAAGATGCCGAGAGGGCACCTCTGGAACATCTACTATTCGGTGACAGGCAAGGACAGTCAACAAAGAAAAATGGCCGCCCGAGCCAGCGGAAAGCCGATGGGGACTATGTCATTGACCCCATCACCAACCGCAGGGTACCCAACAAGTCTTCAAAGTCACCCATCGTCAACCACTACGGCACACCTCCTTCCCTGCTAGACGCACTCGGCGGAAAGAACAAGGATGTCCGTTGGCACCGGAATGACACCATTGCTTCGACATCCGCCCCCAAGTATTCAGATTTGCACCGCTACACTGCGGTGAGATACCAAGAACCCGATGGCAAGCCGTTGGATGAGCAGCAGGTCCCGAAACCTGCGGACCTGGCCAAGTACGGTCCTATCCGGGCCCACGAGCCAGACGGAAAATACAAGCTCGAATCCGAATCTCCCGCAAACCCGGAAGAGCTGGGCAAGTACGGTGCCGTCAGAGCCCACGAGCCGGATGGCAAGTACAAAGACGTGCCTGAGTCTCTCGTGGAGTCACAGGAGCTTGACAAGTACGGCGCCGTGAGAACTCACGAACCCGACGGCAAATACAAGCTCGCGCCTGAGACTCCGGTCAGCCAAAAGGAGCTAGACAAGTACGGGGCTGTCCGCAGTCACGAGCCGGACGGCAGGTACAAAGCTGAGGCCGGCGAGGCAACCTCTTCTGCGAACTCAGAGGAATTGGACAAGTATGGTGCTTTTAAGTCGCATGAGCCAGATGGTGCCTACAAGTTGGAGCCTGAGCCTACGCTCACCCAGGAAGAGCGCGGCAAGTATGGAGCCTTCCGCAGCCATGAGCCGGACGGCAAGTACAAACTCGAGTCGGAGGCTCCAGCGACCACGCGAGAGTCGAAGCGGTACGAGGCCGTTCGCAGCTACGAACCGGAAATCAAGTTTGCGGCCGAATACACCGACACCCCCGACGCGGCAGAGCTGGCGGCGTACAGCAAGCCCATCCTTGCTCATGAGCCAGATGGTATGTACGCTGCGAATCACGTTGAATCCGAGTACGACGCCGAAGAACTGGCCAAGTACCGCAAGCCCTTCTTCTCCCACGAGCCTGATGGCAAATACGCTGCGTCCTACGTGAAGCCGCAGTACGACAATGCGGAACTGTCGCAGTATACGGCGTTCCGCAGCCATGAGCCTGATGGCAAGTACGCCGCCAGCTATGCCAAGGAGGAGTACGATTCGAGTGAGCTGGCTACCTACGGAGCTTTCCGGAGCCACGAACCCGATGGCAAATACGCTGTCAGTTACGTCGAGGAGAAGCCTGATGCGAACGAGTTGGCGACCTACAAGGCATACCGAAGCCACGAACCCGATGGAAAGTACGCTGCCAGTTATGTCAAGGAAAAGCCCGACTCGGATGAGCTGGCCACTTACGGTGCATTCCGAAGCCACGAGCCCGACGGCAAATACGCCGCCAGCAACGCCGCTCCCGCGAAGCCGGCTGACGCCCAAAAGTATCAGGCGTTTCGCAGTCATGAGCCCGACGGCAAGTATGCCGCGGAAGCACAGGCCTCCGAGGCCCAAGATCTCGCTAACCACGAGGCTTTCACTTACGAGGATGCGGAGACTCGACCGCTCCCACAACAGGATCAGCCCAACGAGGAGCAGGAAAAATCGCCATATCGCAAGAAGGTTGAGGAACTGATGGCTCGGGCTGCTGCCGAGTCAAATGTTTCAGGTGTCTCCGGCCGGAGTTCACCGCCGGCCGATAGCAACAACGGCCGTAGTCAAGAGCCCGCAGCCCTAACAGGCAATTACGTACGTGACTTCCCCGAGGACTTCTCCAAATCCTGGCCGGCCGGTACATCGGAAGCCACTTCATCTCTTCTCTCCCCGGAGCAAAAGACGTCCGACGGGGCCGTCCAGCCCGCATTGGAGCGCTTTGGCAAAGAAACCGGCGATTCTTCCTCCAAACCCGCTAACTCCGCCGTACCAGCGCTCTACAAGATCCTAGTCTACGACCCCACCATGCAATGCGTCGAGGCTGCCGAAATGACGTCTACCGTCCCGGACAGCACCGCGGCGCTGACCCCGGCCGAGGTCCTCCTCCGCATCTCCAACCCCGCCAAATTCTTCCCCCACTTCGCACCCCTCCAAGCCCAGGGCTTCGAGATTGTTGCCGGCAGCGGCGACGTGCTCATCTTCCGCAAGGTCCACGACGGGACCACGACCGCACCGAACGCGACGGTCAACCGCATTGACATGACGGGCGGGCAGCCCAACGGCGACTACAGCGTTGCGGCCGGCCGCTTCGCCAGCCCCACGGGCTTTGTCAACTACGACTTGCCCCCTGCCGCGGGACGGCAGCGGGCGGTGGCTCGCGAGCAGGAGGAGGCGGCTGATGCTGCCTCCAAGAAGGAGCGTGCTGCTGCCGGCGACGTGCACAAGAAGGGGAAGCGCAGCCTGCCGAAGAAGGTTGCTATCGGGGCCGCCTGCCTGACCGGCAGCGCGTACTCGGTTGGGGTGGTGAGCGAGTACTTTAAGAAGGGGGGTGTTGATGGTAAGGGGCCCAAGGGTCTCTGAGCTGGGCTGGGGGTTGTGGGTTTGGAGGGGACCAGGGTTCTGGCCCTAACAATGCTGGTGTTTTCTGCTTGTTGAGTTTTGCTGGTTTGCTTTGGAGTTTTTCTTTTTTCGGCTGGCGCACACAAGGCACCATGGAGCATTCGGCTTGGAACTTGACATGACCCGGAGCTTTGCGGTTTTTTTCCTTTGTTGGGACGGAAGGGCATTCTGGCGTCACACGTTCGCTTACACATGACGGGCCGGATCAGACTGCACATACATACCACGGGTACCACGGGTTTGGGAGGGTTTGCGTTTTAGGTCGTTGGGTTCGCGTTGCTTTAGAGAGTGTATATCAACTGGCTGTGCGTTGCTCTCAACCATTTTTGTCCGCCCCTGTGATGCTGTCCCGTGGTGGGGACTCCCGTGATGACGAGCTTCAACAATGCAAATACTAAGCATCGCTCAAGACCAACCGCTCTCAAGATCGACTTCAAGACTCGGGCATGTCGTGTCTCTCATTTCGCGTGTGATATTCTAAAGATTGTAAGCGCGTTCCTCGCGGTCCTTAACCTGGAACCCATAATGCTCCTTCATATCCATGCTCCAACCGGTAAACGTGACACTGCCACCGTAACAAAAGGAAACGTCGTCATGTCGTTGCGTATGCCGAAGGCACTCACTCATCTAACGAGTGTGTCATAAAAAAGAACGTCAAAAACGAGAGACAACGAAACCACAACGCCCTCGATGAGACCATCAGATATACCACCCCCCAAAGCCAGTGATACAGGAAGGACAACAGAGAGCAACAAATAAACTCTAGAAAATAATACAAGAAAACCCGAAACGAAAAGTAGCCCAAAAGATAACCACCACAAAAAAAAAAAAAGACTACAAAGATAAAATCGAAGAAAAGTAAACAGAAAACATCTCCCCCCACCAAACCTCGCTCACTAAACCTCGCTAAACCCACCGCCCTCCTTCCCCGCCCCGCCGCCCATGCACTGCCGCTTGAGCAGGTCGTGCTTGTACTCCTGGGCGCTCCAGCTCTGGCGGCGGTCGAGGGCGGGCTTCCAGGCGCCGGTGTGCGACATGGCGCGCTCGGTGCCGCTGTCCTCGGCGGTGGTGTCTTGGTTGGTGGCGGTGGGGTTGTTGTTGGTGGTGGTGGCGGTGGGATGGGGGTGGTGGTGGTGGTGGTGGTGGTGTTTGGGGGAGGAAAGGAGGGATGCGGCGAGGTCGGCGATGGCGTCGCCTGGCGCGGGTTGTTTGATGGTTTCGGTGGGGTTGGACATTGTGTGTAAGGTACCTCGGTGGTGTTTTCTTGTGGGGGTAATTGAGGTGGTGATGGCTGGCGTGGTGTTTTAGTGGAGTTCCACTGAAAGCGCCTTGTAAGAGAGAGACCCAATTAGTGGTAGTATAGGTAGTGTGAATGTGTGTTTCGTGGCAGAGGAGTAGTTAAAGGATGAAGAAGTTGTGGAACTAAATATGCCTTGGGGGGAAAAAGGCGGGTGGGAATAAAAATAAGAGAACCAGAGTTTCGTCGCCTGACGATTCTCGATCTCATCGTGCATGATCGTTCCCTCCTTCTGCTGGTTTGGGTTGGTGATGTCGAGGTGGGGCAAGCTTATCCAGCTTATCGCTAAAGTGCCAAGACTGTCGCGATCGTCCTCACGATCGCCGCCGCCTGTTTCCGACACCCTTCGTCAACTCAACGGTGTCATTGCGTAGCATCCCGCTGCGTGTTCTCCGAAACATCGCCTTGCCACCCCGGTTTCCCTCGCCCCGGCGTACTCGCCCTCGACACATTCCCACTCAGCCTAGACCTTGGCGATGGCTTGGGTAATTGCGCGCTCAGTCTCCCCGGCGCCAATGGACTCCTCGGACTCCTCTGCATCCTCCAAAAGCTGCGTCCGCCCGGGCTAGCGGAGCTCGGTGAAGGCCGTCCCATCGCGCGCGGAGTTGGTATCTTCAACCTTCCCAATGCTGCTGCCGGGTCGTTAACCTTCTCGCCAAACGACTCCCGCACTGTTCTTCTCGCCGAACGCGCCGACATCATCGACCGCGGTGAGGTCAGCGGCGGCTGCAGAGACGAGCCTTTCTGCCACAGTTTTTGATGCACCCATGTCTTAGCCGGGAGTTGGACCACAACGTCGCCTTCGAGCTCGGCGGGGTTCGGGGTGCTGCCGATCGCCGGAGGCCCAGCATACAGCTCCGACGCCGGGCTGATCATCGACTGTGGCACGCCGGATTCGCCTCGCTTGTGCCGATGGGACCCCTGCTCCAAGCTCGTCTCGTCACCATACGTTGTTGAGCGCGACCCTTGCCGCTTTGCGACTCTTTTCTTATACCGCCGAACAAGAAGGAATGCGGCCACCCAGAGGCCGATACCGGCGACAACTGTCACCACGACGATAACGACGATGCTCGTAGTCCGGTCCAGTGACCCGATTCCCCCATCTGAAGCGCTCCCGGCAGTGTTTGCGGGAGCAAGGCTAGTCGTTGGATCCAGCGGGTCAAAAATATGGGTGAAGCCACCTATTGACCCGGGCGAGCCCTGGGTATCTGGGCCAACCGTCGTGGACGTTTCGGTCTCCCCGTCCTCCAGCGCCGGCCGCTTTCCCGGTGTCGCGGTCGTTCCTGTGGCGGGACCAGTGGTGGTAGTCGACCCCATACCGGGGGGGCTTGTCTTTTCAGAGTCTGTCCTGGCGAGTTTGAGGCCTGGCGTGAGGGGATGGGTTTCAAGCTTGGTCAGGTCTGCCTCCACCCATCGAATCTGAATTGCTGGTCCGACCGTTGCAAGAGCGCCAGGCGTCATAGCAGGACTCGCGAAACCCCATACACCACCACGGAAGTCAGTAAGGTCTGTTGTGCAGGTCAATCCGCTGGGAACGCAATACACGGCCGTTTCTCCAGGCGCGATAGCGGGGAATCCCTCGTCCGTCCGGGTTTTGGTGATGCCGCAGTTTGGGCCGACAACGAAACCTTGAGGGCAGATGGCAGGGGAGTAGTAATGAAAGCCGGCTCCGGCGATGTTGGTCCTCCACGAGGGTGGGTCGCAAGACGCTGGGCCCGTTGTCGGAAAAGGCGGGTACTGAGAGAACGACCTGGTGGTCGTCAGGAGCCAGGAAGTGGGACAGGGAGGCGTAAATACGGATGTTAGCGCAGCTAGCGGTGTTGTGCCGCCGTACGCTGCAGTTGGAGCTGACATCGAGCCCATGTGGCGTCGACGGACATCCCCGTCAGCCAGTTGGGGCCGGTAAAGAAAGACGCGGTCGGGAATCGCATCGTTCCAGGACCGCGATGGACGACCGGCGATCTACCTTTAAACATGTTGCATTCGAACGGTAACACAGCCATGGGGATCTGAGAATGCCATTCCTCCCTGTTCTGCCGCAGTTCACGCTCATCCTTCCTCTGGGGAGAGGCAAAGCACTATGCACAAAGATGACATCCGGGACGGGCGCTATCCCGGACGGCGGGAGCAAGGCGGAATCTCGGTCGAGACTTGCCTGGGTGCCCAGGATCGCCCGGGCCGCTGAAACCAGCAGATAGCTGGTCCCTGCATGGCCGGCCCATCAGTTGGTGCCTGCAGACCCGAAGAGCCTCGTGAAGGAAGCATATGCGGCACAGTTGTATCACGACATCCACATGCCAAAAACAGCACAGCTTCCCAACCCCACCATTTCATCCAACGGCCCCCACCCCCGCACCTCAACACCGAAGCCTCCTTCATGTCGACCAACACCAACAGCTCCAGCAGGTCCATGAGACATTCATCTGGTGACGCGCGAATAATTAACCTGTACCTGCCACAATCACGTTGCCGGCATGCCGCGGCACCCTGCCAAGAGGGACAGGGAGACGATACTCAAAGTTGGCCAGCTATCCAATGCCATCTAACTTTGCAGCAACCCCGCCGCGTCCTTCGGTCAACCGCCTGCCCAATTTTCCATAACTTATTAAGAGCAAGCTGACCCCAGGCCCAGCACGCTCAGGTACGGAGTTAATGGAGTCCCGTCGCAGCTGGACTTTTCCCGTTCTCTCTCCACGCATGAGGACCCAGAACCCTTCAGCCCCCCGGCTTCCTAGCCCCCCGCTCTCGCCGCCACATGTCTGCTAGTGTAGGCGTGGAAAAACCATCTGAGTTTCAGGTCCCAACAACCAACCACGGCTGCCAAAAGAGAAGCAGGACAAACGTGGGCTTGGCGACTGTCAGCGTGCGGCTGTGATGCCAGGCACACGAACCAGGAGTGGGCTGAGCATCCTGGTCTTGGCGCGCCGCTCCAGAAGAACGTCACCCACACACCACCCAACCAACCCACACACACGCATGCCCTCACACACTCCTATCCCCTCACACACAAATTCTGACGGGCGGCGTCCCAATTGGAATCCGAGTGTTAAAAGTGCCGGGCCTGAACCCATCCGGCGGCGCGCGTCTGACGTTGCCAGACAACTTTGGAAAGTGATATAATGAGGCATAGTGCATCGCCTGGATACCGGTTTGTCAACGAACTGGAACCCAAACTCTGGGCATTTCCAATTCAGTCCGTTTAAGTTAGGTGGTGAGCGTGAGCTCCAAAAGTTGGCCGCGCGGCTGGCACGGACAACAGACTGCGCCGGATGTGATATCGTAGCTATTCCCAGAACGGTAAACAATCTGCGCCGAATGCGTTGTGGAATTGCTACCAAGTATTTCCAGAACGATAAACCAAAGACATCTTGGCCCATCCACCGAAGCGAAGGCTTCATCGAGGACCAACTCTGGCCCCTCATTGCCCGCATCGAATGTCCCCTCGTCGTTGGCAGAGGGGTTTTGAACTTGATGCAGGTTGTTTCAAAGGTTTCATTATCACAACTGTTCGCTTCTAATATCATGGGAACTTCACTCGAAGTGCGAAGAGACAGGTGGGAGACTTCGGGAAAGACCTCAATCCAGATAGATAACCCTAACCCTGGCAGCAATCACATGCCGAGGCAATCGATTAAGCGGTGCAAAGTGGGCCTGTGATCTGCATGCAACTCAACCTCAAATTCGTATCGCAACCTCCTCGCGAGCTTTGAGGGAAGCTTGATCTCGTCTCTTTCCGGCATCAATTCCATCGGTCAGACGCCCTTGCTCCCCATCCTCGCTCGAATCAAAATGGGCCCTAAGCCAGGTCAAAAGACGGTGCTTATCACCGGGTGTGTTTCCGATTCCATCCCATCTGTCAGATTCGTAATTTTCAATACAATACACATACTGACCCCCCTTCCCTCAGTTGCACCCCGGGCGGTATTGGCCATGCGCTGTGCATGGAGTTTCATGCCAAAGGTATGCCACCTAGTTACAAGCTTCTCGATGCTGTCTCACTGACATTCCCCAGGGGTTCACGTCATCGCGACGGCCCGCAACCCGGCTGGTGCTCTCCGAGGATGGCTACCCTTCGGGCATGACCACCCCTTGCCCTAGACGTCCACCAAAGAAGGACAGCATCAGGGGCCTGCCACGGCGAGGTCTCCAAACTAACAGGCGGCAAGCTCGACATCTTCGTCAACAATGCGTTGGTGCCCCCCTACACCCCCATCCCCACCACCCCCCAGGTACTAAAAACCAAAACTAACCCCCCCCCCCCCCCCCCCAGCGGCCGCACGCACACGCACCCAGCCACGGATCTCTCCATCCCCGACGTGCGCGAAACCTTCGAGACCAACGTGTTCGGGGTGATGGCGATGTGCGCGGCCTTCTCGGACCTTCTCATCACCTCGCGCGGGCTCATCATCAACATCGCCTCGCTGGCGGCCATCACGCCCTACGTGTTCGGGTCGGCCTACTGCGCGACCAAGGGCGCCGTCACGGCCTACTCGCGCACGCTGCGGCTGGAGCTGAAGCCGTTTGGCGTAAGGGTCATGGTGGCGATGACGGGGACGGTGAGGAGTCAGATTGCGAGTCGCGTGCATAGGACGCTGCCCGAGGGGAGTATCTACGAGAGGGTGAGGGGGCTGTTTGAGAAGAGGTTGACCTTCTCGCAGAATAATGCTACGGTGGATACGGCGGAGTATGCACGGAAGTTGGTGGCCAATGCCCTCGCGCCCGAGTGGCCGTTGGTGTTGCGCGCGTGGTTTGGGAGGGCAGATTGGTTCTGGGCTGGGGGGTGGTCGACTAAGGCGTGGTTTGCGACGTGGTTTGGGGAGTGGTTGTTGGATGTGGTGCTGTATCGGATGATTGGGATGAAGCAGTTGGAGGGGGTGTTGAAGGAGGAGGAGAGGAGGAAGAAGTTGGCGTAAGGGGGGGTGAGGTCTGCTGGGGCTGGTTCATGATAGCATCGTTAATGTAAGGGTGTTGTTCCTGTTACTAGTGTGCTGTCCGTATGTTGTTATAGTGTTTTTAGTTTGATTACGTGTGACATATGAAAAGACACCGAAAACACCAACTTCCCCTCCCCCTCCATCAGACTCGGGTCAGATGTTCCTTTGGGCGTCACGCTCCCCTCTAGTAGGGCCACGGCCCGGGTCACTGGTCTCTGGTAGGCAAGAGGTAAAATAGAGCACGAAATTGATAGGGATCATTGATGCATTTTTGAAGAAAATCCAGTATTGGAAGAGAAATTGAACGCGGAGGCAGCAAGGCCAACGGCAAAAAGAGTTATATGATCAAGGCCAGGCCTCAAATCCAGGTGTATCAGGTACATTACATGATTAGCCCACAGAATATAGACTACAAGGCTCCGCTGCACTATCAACCCCTCAACGATAAGGGATCAGCTAAGTTTGCCTATTATTAAAAGACGGCAAGTCTTCTTCGGCAATGAATTGTGCCGAATAATTGTACGTCTGCGGTGGCGGCTCGGGGTACGTCGAGTTGTCAGGCCGCGCAGGCTGCTGCAGAAACACGGGCTGCATCCTGCTGACGGGAGCCCAGGTTGGCTCCGGCTCACCAACGTCCATCCCGCCGCCGCCGCCCCCAGAGGCGGGAGCAGCAGCTGGCCGGAACGAGAAGCCCTCAAAAGTGACGACGCCGTTGGCCTTGACTTTGGTCCAGAGCGAAGGGATGGTTTGGTCCGGGGCCATTACCTAAATGGTACCGTTTTCACCATTCTCCGCCGCGGCCGGCGTAGCAACTTCGTTGCTCGCAGTCAAGGAAGGGTCGATAACAAGATGCGCTCCATCGGGACCGAATGCTGCAAACCCGGTGGTCGACAGGTTGGTCAATCGGAGGGACTCGGTCTGCTGCTTGCGTAGGGTCTCTTGGTAGGTGGCGGGATAGATGAAGCAGGGTTTCCCCCGGCTCGTCATGGCTGCCCAGTTGCGGCCCTCGAGGCACATGGCCTCAACATCGACGATATCGAGGTCCTGGCCATCCTCGCGGACCACCAAGACGTCGCCGTCTATTTTGAGGACGGCCTCTTGAATTTCGGTCTCAGAGAGTGGTGGATTCACCTGTGGGATTTTGAGCATCAACTCAGAGGCGCGGGCATTGGCTCTTGTCGCCGGGCAGGCAATCCCAGCGGCTTTTGTTGGTCTCCAGCGGCGGGTTCGGGAGGCGGTAAACTCTCAGAGGATGGTTAACCTTTTCGGATAACGGGCTAATAGCGCCCACCTTCACCTCGGCGGGTATATGAAAGCCGCGAATCGGGTGAAGGTGGTCGACCACGGTAGACACAAAGGCACCCTCGCGCGGCCGCCGGCTTTCCGTTGCAGCGCAGCGGATCACGACACCTCGAATAGGCGCGGCGACGGCATCCATGGAGAATTGATCCGCGTAAGCGTACATTTCTGGGGTGAATTTATGGGCATACCAGACGAAAAATTCCAGGATGTCCTTGAAGTCGGCCATGGTCATGCCTTCGGCAACGCCAGTGGCCGGGTTCACACGGACGGCGGCGATGCTACCAGTCCAAGGAAAACGCGGAGAGGGTAGCTCCCAATTTTCATTGAAGCACCACTGGAGCGTCATGTTGAGAGGCAAAATGCAGGCCCTCGAGACGATCTTCAGGTCGAAGGGGAGGCGGCGCCCGGTGAGTGGGTTGGCGGTGACTGTGAAGATCACCACCGGCGATGCCGACGGTTCCACGGGCATCATGCGTATCGCCGTTTCTGCCCCCGCCTCCCACTGGTTGGCGTCAAGGTAGATGACCTTCGGCCTCTGTTCCTCCGTCGAGAAGAGGACGGCCCGAACTTGGTTTGGGATATCGGGATCCTTCGTCGTCTTGAACTTGTGGCAGAGTTTCCGGTGGCGGTGATGGGATTCTTGGGCACAGCGCTCGGAACAGTAGAGGATGGCGCGGCATTGGGCGCAAGCCATGAGAAGCAATCCTGGTCGTTCCTCTGTGAGGCAGTTCGCACAATGTTTCTCCTCTGGTCGCTGGAGAGAGGGAGCTTTGCTTAAGGTACTGCCGTCATCCTTGAGAGGGATAAGCTTAGATATCTTTGCCGCTCATCGCTGCGATGGGGATCCTGGAGCCGTTCTAGAAAGTGGAGGATGCTGTAGTTGAGACCTGGGGGGACAAACGGCGTCAGCAATCTGATCAGTCGAGATTCTGGATAACCTCAGGGAGGATTATACGTACAATCTGGCGAGGCTGATGGTCACTTTCCCCAAAATGTAAAGGGAACGCTGATAATTCTGCTCCGCTACGATGGCCTGAGATGGGTTGGTTACCGTCTGGTAAGTGAAAGAGATGAGGAAATTTGAAAGTGTGGCTTCTTATTTATTTGTGAGCAGTCTCACCGTGGCAACACAGTGAATACTACGAGCCCAGGACAAATGTTCCTCCACCCTGAAGTTGAGGAAGTTAAGATGAAAGGCAAGCACCTCGTAGTGCCTAAACAATGAAAATATTGAGAATTCTAGGGCTGAACTGGTGGACATCGATTCTGTTCATTTCCATGATTACAACTTTACAGTGATGGATACATAAGGTAGCCACTGGCAATATCGAGTGAGGCAGTCTCAACCACCAACCTTCCCCTTTGGCCCCGACCTGTGTCCGCTCAACGAACAATGACATGTGAGTCGAGGAAATATCTATTGCGACCAACCATTAACTCAAAAGAAGGTGGACATAAGTGGAATGGCTTGGAATGTCCGAACACTTTGAACAACTAATTTGCTATGTAGGTTACAAGCAATGACTGCTATGGTGTAGGAGAATTGAGAGCGACTTATAAAAGAAAGCAGAGAAAAGTGGCTGTATGGGCATGGGTCATGGCTGCTGCCAGCGTCAAGGCCTCATGAAAAACCCACACTTGATGAAGAGAACCTGGAAACTTTTAAGCTCGAACAGTGGAAAATTGGGAGCAGACAGCCCTCTGCAGTCCAACACCTCGGGAACACATTAGTTCTTCTCCAGGATTTGCCGATCTGCTTTGTTCCGGGTTCTCTTAGCAAATCTGAAGTCATTGGGAAGTAGTGCGTTCTGGTCGATGCTGAATAGATCATACCCAGGATCTGCTTTGTGGTCTGAGAAAAACAAAAGAGATCTTTTGTACTTCATACCTATTCATGTATCCAAAGATACGTGTACAAATAATAGAGTAATGAAAGTGGAGTGAAACAAACAAACAAGGAATCGGGCAGAAGAAGATAGAAGAGAAGGAAAATAAGTCGAATAAAGCACTCAAGTGCGGAGTATTTCACCCCAGGACGGGTACACTGGGTTGGGTTGCGGTTGGTGAGTGTTGTTTATGACTGGAACGGCCAAGCTTATTGGGGCTTTGAAATCATAGAAGGGAAAGCATAGGTCAATCGAGAGTTTCAAAGTGCAAATAATATGGTGCGACAAGAAATTATTTGGGAAGAAAATGATAATCGTGCCCTGTTTAACCACAGTATCTACATGCATGTATGTACTTTTGTGACTGATGATGGTTTGGCTCTGTTTCTATTTTGCTTGAGGTGGGGTCCAGAGAAGCAAACCTGGAAGCCTTTGGCATGCCACGACGCGACAGGTATTGAGCCTTGTTGAGAGGAAAAAACGGGTGTGGGATCTGGGAGCTAAGTTAGCTGGTTATGCCCACTCGTTATTGATGCAGCGGAAGAAGTGCATTGTTCAGAGCTTCAGTAGGTGCATTTATAATCACAGAAAGATCTCATCCCCGTCTTGAAACATAGTTTTTGAACCTAATATCATCACGGTGCTCGGGATTGGAAGTGCGGAAAAGCATTGACTTACAGAGAGAATAGAGATCGACGTATTGAAGCATTGCATTGTTGATGGAAAATGTAGAAGTGAACAATGGGAAAGCGGAAATCCTGAATTTGAATCGCGCGACGTGCCAAGCAGACCCACTCGGCCAATGGGGAGCTCCCGGAATCGGGGAGCTGAATCCAGCCGCCGATACAGCTGCCTGCATGCAGCGGCATAAGCTTCCACCCACCATCCGACAACAGCTGAGCGGTCACATTTGTGATCACCTCTACCTTCTCTGATTAATTACGAGCTTCACATATTTCTGTTTCACCGTATTTCATTGTCGGCATATTCCAAGCATGGCTTTTGTTGGGGCGCTGAAGCTGCTCGCTGTGGGGTCGCTCATCTCAGCGTCAGTTGCAAAGCCCATTGAGCCGCGATTCCAGAACGACAATGACGATACTCCATTGCCTCTGGTCATTTGGCATGGTAAACACCCACTTCCCCCGATGACTTACGAAATGTAGTGTTGCTAAACTTCCCTCTTTCTAGGTCTCGGCGACACTTATCAAGCCGATGGGATCCGCCACGTCGCCGAAATCGCCGAGGAAGTCAACCCCGGGACCCTCACCTACCTTATCCGAATGGATGAGGATGCTTCCCGCGATCGGTATCACTCTTTCGTGGGGAACCTGACCGAACAAGTTACCAAAGCCTGCGACGACATCGCCGCCCACCCGATCCTCTCGACCGCCCCGGCGATTGATGCGCTCGGCTTTTCCCAAGGCGGCCAATTCCTGCGCGCGCTACGTCGAGCGTTGCAACAAGCCGCCCGTGCGCAGCCTGGTTACTTTCGGGTCCCAACACAACGGCATCTCCAACTTCCGCGAATGCGAGCCGACCGATTGGATTTGCAGGATCGCTATGGCCGTCGTGAAGGGCGACGCCTGGAACAGCGCGGTGCAGAGCACCCTCGTCCCGGCCCAGTATTATCGAAACCCCGACGAGTACGAGCAGTACCTGGAGAACTCCAACTTCCTTGCCGACATCAACAACGAGCGCGAGGAGAAGAACGAGCAGTACAAGAAGAACATTGCCAACCTGGAGAACTTCGTCATGTACATGTTCGAGGACGACAAGACTGTCATTCCGAAGGAGACGGCTTGGTTCGAGGATGTTAATGGCACCGAGACCACGCCGCTGCGCGCCCGCAAGCTGTACTCGGAGGACTGGCTCGGCCTGCGCCAGCTCGACCGCAAGGGCGGGCTCAAGTTCCGCCTCGCGCCGGGCGAGCACATGAAGCTGACCGAGGACATCCTGAAGGAAGCCTTCGGTGACTTTTACGGTCCGCTGAACCCCCATCGCGGCCGCTCCGAGCCGAGGCCGAAGCATGTGCACAACGACGATCTCTGAGGAGGATTGATCTGTACACTGCAAGCTTCCCTTTGTTTCTACTTTCTTCGGCACACATCTTCTTGTCATACTGGACTGGGACTGGACTAGGCGTACGGGCGGTTCTGGTTATGGGCCCGGGCTTGGGCTCGGGCTTGGCATCTGGGTATTTGTTCGCGACATGACGGCGAGGCAACGGGCTTACGGTACCTTGTCACATGGGTGGATATGTTGGAAGTTTGGGACGGAATATGGCGTTGGTGGGACATGGCATATTGCAAATAGCGCGGAATTGACTTGTTACCCGTGATATGCTGTGTGTGCACGACATGCGTGACTTGCCGCGTGATGCGAGCCCTTATCGGCAACGGAGGTCGTAACGTGTTTTGGCTGGGGCCGAGGGCAAGGGGTTCACTCATTTTCCCCTCCACACCTGGATGGGGAATGTTGCAGCTGCTCGCACGATGTATTGAAATTGCAATGGGGTATCCGTACATTCTGACGGTACCATACGCTCACCGCGAACCCCCCTTACCGGGTGACGGGACACATGTTGGATACAGACAGGTAAGGAAACACGGACTCCCACTTCCAACCGCACTTTCTGCAGCCTCATAAAGCTTGCATTGTCCCCTGTTCGAGCCATTGGACTTGCTTCGCGCCCTGGACATGCCGAGCGAGGTGAGTGCATGGCTGGAAGGGATGGTTGCGCGATTCTTGCCATGGGTAAGTGGGTTAGGGTTGAACTGAAACCTTGGGCCCAAAATGCTGGCGGCTGGGGTCGCGTTGAAGCTGTAAATGCTGTATTTTACGCTGAAAACCCGCCTTTCCGTAGCGAAGACGCGCTGCCTGGGTGGGCCTGCACACGCCAAAACGCGCCTAGAAGCAGGCTCTTCCTGGGAATCGCGTCTGCAACAGGTCAGACCACGGCACGGGTCCCGCAGACACGACCACGACCTGCATCTCTTAAATACCAAAATCCCCACCACCCCGGCACACTTTAGGTCTCCTCCGACCAGGCCACCTCTGCCAATTCCAAACCGTCAGTCGAGCAAGATTTTTGTTCTTGCTTCTGGTTTTGCGCTGCGTTTTCTTCAGGCTCTGGCTTTTCTTCACTCTCTTTTGCACGACTTTGACTTAAACGTAACACGCCGTATCAGAGGGCTGAGGTCCGGCATAGGGGAAAGAACCGCATCCGACGCGTTTCGACGTGACCACCACACTCCCACTTCCGGCCCACACTTTTCAAAGTGTTCTCGACCCGGTCGGAGCCTCCTATTCACTACTAGTATTGTCATGATCACAGCTTGACACAATTCACAAATATGGACTCTTCCCCATCAACAGGTAGCAGGGCTCTGGAGCCTACGCTGCCCACCACAGCCGGCGTCAAGCGTCCTGCTCCTTCACTCCTGCCGGCATTCGAGCCCTTGTCTTCTTCACCGGGCTTGCCTCGACCCGCGAAGAGGCACGCAAACTCCAATGCCTTCCTCAAATACCCGACGCCAGTTGCAACCTCGAGCACCGGGATCCTCTCGTCGAGCCCCCCGCGGCTTGGGTCACGCCCCGCCCTCCAACGCACGCTGTCAACATTATCCGAGCGCGCCCCTCTGTCCAGCGTCCCGTCGGTGCAGCTCAACGAGAACGGCGAGACGGTCCTGATGGGTCGGTCCAGCAGCTCTTCCCATTATCAGCTCTCGGCGAACCGTCTGATCAGCAGGGTACACGTCAAGGCGCGATATATCGCGGCAACCAACCCGCTCGAGCCCAACAAGATCGAGATCATCTGCAATGGTTGGAACGGGTTGAAGTTGCACTGCCAGGGGCAGATGTGGGAATTGGCCAAGGGCGACTCGTTCACGTCCGAGACGGAGGGCGCCGAGCTGATGGTCAACGTTCAGGATGCCAGGGTGTTCGTACGGTGGCCGCGTCGGGATAAGGACCAGGACGCGCTGGGCCATCTGAGCGATTCAACCTGGGACGAGTCCCCGCGTCCGAGGGTTGCGAGGGCAGGCTCGGAGCTTCACGGCAGCCCGTTAAGGCGGACGACGCGTCTCACGAGTCCGGAGTCACCCACACCGGCCGGTGTCTCGACCTCCAATGCAAGCCTGGACAGCTTGATGCCGCGTGGTGTCGAAGATGACGACGCTCCGGTGGAGATTTATGAGGATGCGAGCGCGGACGAGAAATCGCCCGAGCTGCCCAAGGCCCAAGCGGCGGCTGCTGCAAGCTTCATGACCAATGTGACCGAGAGCTTCTCCAGCGACCTCAGCGACCCGCAGTCTGACGGGGAAAACGACCTCAACGAGAACGACCCGATTCTCCACTCGTTCGGTCCATTCGGCCCCAATATCTCTAGCCGTCTCGCGTCTTTCGCAACCATCACACCGAGAAAGATGGCCGGTTCCCGCAACCCGTTGGCCGGCGTCCTCGAGTCTTCACCCCTCCCTGCGCCCTCCCCGCTAGGGCCTGCAGACGGGAACTCGGCAACCAACGCCCATCCCGAGCCGACCTCGGCCTCGCTCGCCAACCTGAGCCCCGAGGCAAAGTCCACCATCACCAACCACATGGTCAACCAGTTGGCCTTCTCACGCCTGTCGTCGACCCCGCTGTCGACCATCATGAACAACCTGCCGGCCGAGGAGCGGAAGCTGGTGAACAAGGACCAGCTGCGCGTCATCATCGAGTCGACTCCTTGCCTGGGCATCATCCGGCGGCAGGGCAAAGACGCGGCGGGCAAGCCGCTTGAGAGCGAGTATTACTACACGCCGGAGCTCGATACCGACGAGCATCGGAGGTTGGCCGTGACCGACGGGCTGCGGAAGCCGAGTTTGAGGAATTGTCGGAAGCAGCACAAGGTGAGTTGCATTCGTTTGAGTGTGTGCCAGGCGTTGGCTTGCTGATCGTGTTTTTTTCCCTTGCAGCAATATTATTGGAAGCGCCCCAAGACCCCTTGATCGTCGTCATCGCCTCCTGACTCTCGAACGGAGTCGACTGTTCTGTATCCTTATTTTCTCTGTCGCCACCACGCCAACACCGTGGATGGACATGACGGCGGCTGGAGGACGGCTTTTGTTGCTTGTGTCGGTGCTAAGGAAGGTCCCACATACCCCATTTCTGTCAGATATTTGCTGGGTTCTTGAACCCCCATCTGTACTGCTTCTTCTGTTGGCTTTAGGAGGAGCTGCATAGCGCAAGGCGTACTTTGTTGGTGTATAATTGCTTTTCATATTTCTTACCGGCGGGGAATATCTTGTGCGAGGTTTAGCCTGGAGGGTAGCTGCCGGGTTTGCTGGGTTATGAAAGGTCACCAAAAGGAAGGAAATCTGTGCTTGGGGGTAGGTAAGCCTGGGCGGGCTTGTGGAGACGGGGGGAGGCGGCCTTGGAGGGAGGAGTTGTTGCACGGTTTGTGATGTCGATGTAGTTATGGTTATGGCCAATCAATGACCCGTGGACCTGCGCCGTTATTGGTGACTTCCCAGCTGTGATATTGGTATTGATATCTGGGTCATGGCGTCTCGTCGACCAAAGACAGCAGTATCATCAACATGAGGGAGCCCGATGTCCAGGCAACGTTCCAGGCTTCGTTTTGCCGGTTGCTGTCCCGGACGGCCCCACTCTGCCGGACCTGCCTGCAGCCCACATGCCCCACCTACCATTTTCAGCAAGTGACAGGGATGGAATCTTATCTATGATAAGCGGAAAAACGAGTTCTCCGGATAAGCCCAAAATTTCTTGGGATCCAATGCAAAGGAAAACAACGGAGTTGCGATTGGGACTGGGACGACAGACCACATCGCCGACATCAACACTCGCAAACATGTCGAAATCCACCGCCGTTGCGAGGGCCGCTGATGCCTCGGTCCCTGTCAACCCCGAGCAGACATTGAAGGCCTGCAAGGCGCTTGTCGCACACATCAAGAAGGCAGCCGCCGAACCACGCGACGACGGGAAGCAGAACCTGCTCGGCGACGAGGAGACGACAGTCGCGGAAACGCCCGTTTGGTTGACTCTCACGACCAAGAAGCACATCCACGATTCGCACCGTACGTTTACCCAAGCAATTGTTTCACCTGAAAGCCACCGCGGCGCCTGGCTTGCGCCCGCGTTGTCCTCTCTATATCCCCCACTACCCCCCGGCGCACTTGTGCCGCATCTGAGACATCTGCTGACAGTTTCCTAGGCCTTCAACCCGGCAAAATCGTCCTCCCCAACCCTCTCAACACCAACGAAGAGCTCAGCGTCTGCTTAATAACGGCCGACCCCCAGCGGTGGTACAAGAATGCGGTCGCCGACGAGTTCCCCGAGGAGCTGCGGGCCAAGATCGGCCGGGTGATCGACATCAGCCACTTGCGGGCCAAGTTCAAGGCGTATGAGGCGCAGCGCAAGCTGTTCAGCGAACACGATGTCTTCCTCGCCGACGATCGGATCATCAACCGTCTTCCCAAGGCGCTTGGCAAGACTTTTTACAAGACGACAACGAAACGGCCCGTTCCGGTCGTTCTGATGGCGCCGAGGGAAAAGGTCGATGGCAAGCGCGTCGCGGCGCCCAAGGGGAAGAAGCCGAAGCGCGACCCGACCGAGAACATCAACGCACGGCCAATTCCCGAGATCGTGGCCGAGGTTCAGAAGGCCATTGGCGCCGCCCACGTCCACCTCAGCCCGTCCACCAACACGGCAGTCAAGGTTGGGTACGCGAACTGGGAGCCCAAGAAGATTGCGGCCAATGTCGATACAGCCGCCCGTGAACTGGTCGAGCGGTTCGTCCCACAGAAGTGGCAGAACGTGCGCAACTTCTACGTCAAGGGCCCCGAGACGGCTGCCCTGCCTATCTACCAGACGGACGAGCTCTGGCTCGACGATTCCAAGGTGGTCGCTGAGGGACAACAGCCCCCCAGCGCGCTTCCAGGCAAGGGCCAGAAAACGATTGGCGAGAAGCCCAACGTCGGCAAGAAGCGCAAGTCGCTGGATGCGGAGCCCGAGCCGGCGGCGGAAGAGCCTGTGAAGGAGGACCGGCCGAAGAAGAAGGTCAAGAAGGCGGTGCCGGAGAGCAACGACGACAAGCTCGACAAGGAGATTTCCGAGCGGAAGGCGAAGCTCAAGAAACAAAAGAAGGCGGCTGCGAAGAAGGCCGAGATTTAAAGAGGGTGGGATGGACTATGGAGGCAGGATTGCGGCTGTTGTGTTTGACAGCTTCGCTCGGCTTTGCATCGTGCTTGGAGTTTTGGAGTATGGGGAGTGGAAAACACGGGCATTCAGCTGTGGACATACCTAGGCCGAGAGGCCGCTAGATTAGTTGTCGATATTACGTTTGATACTCTGGTTTACATGCTCGTCCTCTAGATGTGCCAACTCGGAGCCATTGTATGACATACCTACAGGCGTTCTCGACTGCGTGGCCACGAACGGCCGATACCTCCTCTTAGTTCCGTGAAGTCTTTGGATACGTCTTGGGGTCAAGCCATATCCACGGTGCGACATCTTGCCAAGATCGTTGTGGAGCGAAGGGTTATCCACACATTTTGCGGAGGCGGGCCCCATGGAGGGCCGACTGATCGGGTACCTTCATCCCATTCATCACCGTTTTGGCTGACACAGGTACTGACAAAGGATGCATCAATCGATAAAAAATCCTGCTTCCTGAGATGGTATCTCCAGTCGATCTGGCCTGGCTACCTCGGCGACCGAGGAGGCAAAGTCACGGAAGAAACCCGGGCTCCTCGGTTTCTGGATTCGATCCCCGAACTCACGGAATAGGAACGCGCGCGGGCTGACGACACACGAGCGATCTGATGCGGACATATTTCCTAGCTAAGGCGGATCTTGACACGAGCACAAGGGGCCAGAACAACTGCCGAAAACACGGAGGCGAGACACCCACAAACACGGTTCGTTTGTCCAGCCCCGCACCCTGAAGCTTGTCATCTGCCTGCTCCAATTCTCCAATAGGCCAAGCAACTCCTCCAACCTCCAACCCGATGCGGAAATCTTTCTTCATCGAAGCTGGGTTGGTTCGCCAACCTGCACCATTCAGCCATGTCGAGATGCAAGCTGTGTCCGGCGAACACGAAGTCGCATTCTGAGTTTCTTACAGAAACACCACGTTTCTCGCCCTTGTAAAAAAGCGAGCACAAATACAGAATCCGAAGCATCCTCTTCATCGTAGCTGTCCCAGGCTAACTTGATCATTGAGCGTTGTTCGCCTCCACACACGGATAGTCCCCATGCCACTCACTACGTCGCTTTCTAGTTCTGACATCCGAGTTCCCACACCCCTTGTTAGACCCACGATTCCCATTGTGCAGTCGGATGCGGCCCGTGAGCCGCGACTCGCCGGGCATTGATCGGCCAGTTGTCTGGCTGGACTGGAGACGGCTGCTATCGGTCATTGCTCGTCGACGATGTTCAACCGGTTCTTGGCAACCCTCCAACATGGCCTGCCACGGGATCCCCCAGAATCGGCAAATATCTTCCAACCCTGCTCAAAGGGCGGCTCCCTGGAAACCCGAGGGGGCCGGCCAGCCATACGAGTACTGCTGGCTAATAACTCCCAGAGCCGCCGCCACATCCACGTCTCACTCTCCCAAAACTTAAACACCGTGTTAGTTTAAAATCTCTTGAGGGCGAGCAACTTCAACAGCTGCTCGTTGGACTTATCAACCCTTCAGTCCCAAGCCAGGTTCAACACCCTCACTCAGTGAACGACACCTACCCATCAACCACTAGACCGCGACCTTACCACATCCACTGCCACCACCACCACCACCAAAATGGGCATCCTCAAGCCCACCCCCGCCGACCCCTCCCACCCACCTCCCCAATCCCTCCTCACCACGGCCCTCACCCTCCTCACCATGCACTGGGCCACCCTCCTGCTCACCACCCTCCTCCTGCGCAGCCTTCTCCGACGCTACTTCTCCCCCCTGCACCAATACCCAGGCCCGGTCCTCGCCTCCATCACCCGCCTCTGGAAGGTCTGGTCCACCGCCTCGGGCCACACCCACCTGGACCACATCGCGCTGCACCGGCGGCACGGCCCCGTCGTGCGCATCGCGCCGGGCGAGGTGTCCGTGTCGTCGCCGGAGGCGGCGCGGGTGCTGCTGAGCGCGGGGAGGAGGTTTTATAAGACGGGGTTTTATGGGGTGTTTCCGCCGCCAGAGAATCCGGATATTTTTACCGAGACGAGGGAGGATGTGCACGCGGCGAAGAAGAGGGTCGCGAACGTGCCGTATGGCATGGCGGCGATGCAGCAGCTGGGTCCGTTTGTGGATGATGTGGTGGATTTGTTGGGAAGGAAGGTCGGGGAGCATGTGGATGGGCAGGGAGAGGGGGCGGTGTTTGATTTGGGGGATTATTTGCATTATTTTGCGTTTGATGTGCTGGGGGAGGTGGCGTTTAGTAGGGCGTTTGGGTTCTTGGAGCAGGGGAGGGATGTCGATGGGGCGATCAAGACGATTGATAACTCGCAGGTGTATAATGGGATCGTGGGGCAGGTGCCCGAGTTGGATTATCTGCTGAGGAGGAACCCGCTGTGGCGGTTTGTGCCGTGGTTGAGCACCAAGAATGCGCTGATCACGAGGATGGCGCTGGAGGAGATGGCGCGCCGGCAGCCGTTTGATAAGGATCGTGGAGGGTTGTTGAGGAGCGGTGATGGCAGGCAGGATCTGATGGCTAGTTTGATCCAGGGGCATCTCAAGGACCCGGAGCGGTTTGGGGAGGGGGATGTTTTTGCCGTTGCTCACGGTGCCATGTTAGTCGTCCCGGTACAGCATCTCTGCTTGACCTTGTGAAACTAACCAACCTCATCCAGCTTCGCCGGCTCCGATTCGACCGCCTCCACGATGCAGTCCTTCTTCTGGCACGTTCTCGACGACCAACGCGTTTACAACTCGGTGCTTCGCGAGATCGAGCAGGCCGTCACGACCGGCGTCCTCCCCGCCGAGGGCAACGTCACCTGGAACCAGGCGCAGAGCCTGCCCTACCTGCAGGCCTGTCTCAAGGAGGCCATGCGCGTGCGCCCGGCCGTCGGCCTCAACATCACGCGCGTCGTGCCGCCCGAGGGTGCTGAACTGGATGGTCACTTTTTCCCCGGTGGTACCACCATCGCGTGCAACGGATGGGTGCTGCACCGGGATAAAGAGGTGTTTGGGCAAGATGCTGATGACTACAGGCCGGAACGGTGGTTGGAGGACGAGGAGAGAGCGAAGAGGATGGAGCGGTATATGTTCCAGGTGAGTACTCTACTCCCCCTACCCCGGGCGTGGATGTGTCTGACAATTAGGTCCATAGTTCGGTGGTGGAAGCCATCTGTGCATTGGCCGCAACCTGGCACTCCTCGAAATCAACAAGGTCGTGCCGAGGTTGCTGCGCGACTATCGCTTCGAGCTAGCACATCCAGGGCGGCCGCTAAAGGCAAACGCCTCGTTCTTCGTGGTCCAGTCTGGTCTGGAGGTACGGATTAAAAGGGCTTGAACTACCTAGTTATAGGTAGCTAGCAGCCTAAATTATATAGGGCAAATATAAAAAGTATAATTACCTCTAGAGGTAGCCTCACTACCCTAACCACCTGTTCGTGGAGAACTATCTTACAAGTAGGAACATCTGGAGTTATAACTCTACAGTAACTTGGTATATTCCCACTTACAAGAAACGTCTCCAAGAACAGTCGGTTAGGATAGGAAAGCTACACCTAGAGGTGAGGATGCTTTTTACATGGAGGTGTGCTGGTTTGTCCTGCCAGGAATCGAACCCGGAAGCTGTTAGGTGCAGCGACGTGGGTTTCTCTGAGTGAGACTCGAACCAACTCACCCAAGTTGTTGAATTGCAAGACCGGGCAAAGGAATTAAGACCCCAACCTCCCAGGCAGTGGCGCTGAGGCCCACGTGCTTAGGCAGAAGACTGGCTTCCATCCGATGTACCTATCTAGCACACTGTGTCCAACTACATTTCACCCTCTGTTGTGTTTGAGATCCATGGTACTGAACATATTAGGTGCCAACACACAATCGATGCTGGGAGCGAGGTTGGCGACGATCTAGTTTGCTGTTAGGTACATGGAGATCTGATCCGATAGGCATCTATCACCGTCAACATCCCAGTCAGCTATTACCTCACATTTCTTTGTCAGGAGGACACCGGTATTGTGTCAGTCTGGAGAACCAAGCTTGGGAACTGAGTTTGAATCACTTGATATATTCACCATGCCAAAATACCCTAACTGACGGTAAACACTCCCACTACACCCTCCCAGCCAAGAAGCCTCATCTGCCCACGCACACATAATACCCCTCCCACAGCGCATCACAGTTGATCTGGCACAAGCCGCTTAGCACGAGGTCGATGAATTCGGGCGTGCAGTCAAAGCCCAGGTTGAGGACGGTTCCGCTCACCGACGGGTTGAGTGCGTAGCTAGGGGGCCTGCATGAGCATATGTCCAGGGTTATGAATAGGGAAAGGTAACCAGAAACATACAATTGAAGGAGTGAAAGTTTGTTCCGGTCTGCGAGGTCGCGGCAGGTGTCGCCCTTTTCGATCATATCGTAGTTTTTGCCTAGAGGTGGTGGAGGTTGGGTGTCAGTATGTAAACTCGAAGACTGGGCCTGGATGTCAAGCCGCCGGCTTCCTCCAAGCGGGAGGGGAAGTGGGAGAATGTTCCATTTGCGACAAGATGCGGTGGGTGCCAGTGATCTTATCTCCCCTATTCCCCAACCTCCTTGATCTGCGAGCCATGAAGACTGGCATCAGGAAAGGTCATCTCCCTCCGTAGCCCAGAATGTACCAATGCACTACAAAACAAAGTCAGAGCCCCCCACCCCCCCCAAAACAAAACTTACAATAACTCGGCGTGCCGGGCAGCGTGGGCCTGCCCTCCGGGGGCGCCGTGGTCGTCGGCTTGCCGGTGGTCGTCTTGGTGGCGCACACGCCCGAGGTGACCAGGCGGGTGGAGGTCTCGATGCTGGTGATGGTGTCGACGACGAGGGAGGTGACGGTGACGGTGCGGGTGCTGACCGACGTGCTGACGCTGACCGAGGTCCGCACGCTGGTCACCACCGTCGTCAGCCGCACGACGGAGGTGATGGTGGCGGGCACCGAGACGGTCGTGGTTACGGTCCCGCCGCCGCCGAGGGTGCGCGTGACGGTGGTGGTGGTGGTGGCGCGCGGTTGTGTGACGGTGGATGTTTGTGTCTGCGTGACGGTGGCGGGTGGCGCGCGCTTGGGGTGACGGTGGAATGTGATGACTGAAGTCTGCGATGCTGGTGACCGTGATGGTGATGGGAGCCGCCGGGAGACTGGGACGGCTCGCCGGAGCCGGAACCGCAGTTTCCAAACGCGCCCTGACAGCCGTCGCCGCAGTAGTCGCTGGTGCTGCCGCAATAGCCGTGGGCCGAACAGCAGTCTCCGTATCTTGATCCTGCGCAAGTCACACCTGTGCCGCAGCTCCCGTCAGGGCTTACCACGAGTCCCGCCGGGGTTGAGGTCTGGGGCGGCGTTCCACTGTCAGCTGTCCCCTTTACACAGTAACTTTGCCCGGCAACTAGTGAGCAGCTGGTAACGGATGGGTTGGACCTGAGAAAGTCGGTAACCGTGATGCCGACTTGGGATGAGATACTAGCACACGTATCTCCCTGCTTGGCCGTGATGCTCTGAGTACACTCAGCAATGACTTGCTGGGAGAAGCCGAGAGCCAAGAGCAAGAAGCTCTTGGTCAAGAATATGGCAACCATAGTGACAACTTGGTGGAGGAAGCGCTTAAGGAGCGGTTAGAGGAAGTCAAGGATCACAGGCCCAAAACACCTGGCGGGTTATGATTTCTGGGCGCGGCCGGTTCATGATATACGAGAGAAGAATCGAGTTCGTACCACGGTTCCTGGGACGTGCCAGGACGCGGCCGAGCCACAAGCCGTGGGCTTACTGCCGACATCATCTGCACGATGGAACCTCAATCACGAAGAGGTTGTAGGATTCCGGGCAAGGGCTACGCTGTTCCCGTTGTAGTAGTGACGATAATTTACAAAAGGTCAGCTTCTCTGGTTCTCGATCCGCATCGCCTACCCGTTTCTCGGATAGGACCGCATACTGCAGCCCCCCTTGATTGTTGGTTGCCGTGACCTGGGGTTCGAGTCCCGACTAACGTATCCTTGCAGCAAGTAGTTTTTCAGCTCATTCACGATTTGACGATTCCGATTGTTTTTGTTTCCGTATTCTTTCAATATTACGGTCTAGACCTCCCTTGCTCTGCTGAACTGGACCCCTGTTTTCGAGTTCCACGCAGTATGAGGGTTGGGCTGGAGTTTGGTGGGAGAGGTGACGGTGCACAAAAGGAGTATATTAATAGCAGAACTATTGAATTGTGAGCGGTACCAAACATCCAAGCGGATGTTGGGCTGAGGCGGTAATTTGTGGGTAAAGAAGACCCCGCGAGAAGCAATTTGCGAGCTGCAAGACCGGTCGTGCTACTGCGTTGGAACACGGGAAGCGCACCAACAGGCTAATGTCGAAAGCTACATCACCGCTGACTTGGGCCAGTCTCCGAGAAATATTGCAGCTCGAGGGCCTGGGCCTCTGCACTGCATGCAAACGAGAATTGGACTTCGTTTTCACGTCGTTTTCTCACGGGACGTTGCAGTGGGATATCAATCATGGGGTGTCTGGTCTTCAACGGCCACCGCCGTCACGGTGGAACGTGACATCAGAACGTTTACTCTGCCTCGGACGCCTCGGGAGGTCGTGGTGGTAGCCGGGAGGTGTCGGTACCGTCGGCTGGAATTCGGACAACAACCGGACCACCAATAAGCCTTTTCGGGGACGTGGTTTGCAAGGCGATTCCGGTTCCGGTGGCCGGGTTAGACTTCGGGTTCAAAAAGTAACCAACGAACTTACATGGAGTCCACGGTGGAGGTGATCATATGAACTTGGTCACCGCCGGGATGATGCTGCTCCAGATCATCTGGTGAATGTGCGGCGAAGTTGTCGACACCAGCCCCTGAGACGATAAATCCGATTTCCCATTACCAGGCCGTGCCCTTTACTAACCAATGCCGAGTGGTATCAAACAGTTGCCCCGAAAAGAGATCCAGTTGGGCAGCCATGTCGAGCCCACGGCCGAATCCCGAACGCATACCAGCGGCGGTTTCCTTCGCCTTGCGCCTCCCTGGGTATCTTGCGCCGTCCTCAACTCCCACCGTATCATAACCCAACCCTTCCCACTCCGACCACCACGCAACAGTCTTCGCCGAATCCCCATCGGCAATTACGCGCCCCTACCATGCGATGACACCGTCAATAACCACCCCTCAACCAACCCCCAACCCCCAATCCACCAGACCTCAATCGGCCTCACCCCCTCCCCCCCAGCCCCCTCCCACCCCCAACAACCTCCCGACTCCCCACCGGCGTAGAATTATCCTCATGCGTCCTCCCACACTTCAGACACCTGCCCTCGGTCTCGCGCGGGTGGGGGATAGACGCCCCCGTGACGGGGCAGACGAAGGCGCGCTTGCTGTAGGGCTCGTGGGGCTGGAAGCAGGAGGGGCACTCGCGGCCGCGGCCGCCGCGCAGGGCGTCGACGCGGTAGCCCGTGTTGGGGCACACAAACACCGACTGCCAGATCAGGTCGTGGCAGGCCTGGCAGTGGGCGCACAGGCCGAGGGGGTCGGCGGTGGTGAGCAGCTCGGCGCCGGTGGTGGGGCAGAAGAAGGCGGGCTGTTTTTTTTGGAGGGGGGGGAGGGAGTTAGTTTGGCTGGGTTTGCTTTGGTTGCTTGGGAGGGGGGGTTTAATTCCTTACCTGTATTACGGATTGTTTTTGTCCCATTGCTGTGCTTTGCTGCGGTCTCCCAATCGCTTCGTTTACTAACTGTTGAGAATTGGGATTCCGCTATTTCGACATGACGCCGCCAATGGTTTGGGCCGGAGGGCTGGGCTCGTACAGATTAATGTGTGACGTCGACAGAGCTGGTCTGGACCCCTCGCAGCGCCTTGGTGAGTCTAGCGGGGAATGCGTGGCGTTCGGGAACCTCGAGGGACTGGACGGTTTACATGAGATAAGAGTCGGCCGGGAAGGGGTAGTTTCGGGACACCGAGGAGGACATAAGACGCCCCTTGCCACGTGCCGCGAACAGCATGAGAAGGCGAGTTATCTCCTGTGTCAGCCAAGCGCCCCCTGTTTCTTTCTGTTGGTCGGGTCTCGAACCGGAGAAAAGGATGTGATCAAAGCGAAAGGGGTGGACGGTTGTGGCTTCAACTGCAGCAGATTGCCGGGCCACCCTGCTAGCCAGGTGGAAAGGCCCGGTCTTGGACCAGTTGCATTGTCCAGAAGCACAAGAAACGGGTTAGCAGGATCGCCAACCGCATGATGTTTTAGGCTAATACTCCGCTCGCCCCCGGGAACCTGTCCACTCAGCGTTCCCCCTTCTGCCCTTGAACTCTTTTTTTATCTGCTGCATCCCGGTGCAGCTGTCTGCGAGAAAATGCAGTGTTGCAGCATGTCGTTGACCGAGAACCCCACGAGGCCGATTCGGTGTAAATCCTCTCCGCTGCTCGCTGCTTGCTGCACGCTGCTCGTGAGCTGGGACGCCCAGCTTGCCAGCCTTTTGCGCGAGTCCGCATTCAGCTTGTTGGTCCGCTCACTGATTTCTCGGACCCCACAGAGATCGACGGGCCGCTCCGGATTCCTCGGGGAAAGGGAATCTCCGGAACATGCCGCGGAGACAGAAATGGTCAAAAGATCCAGTGGTGTAAGTAACATCACGGCTAACTTCACGGCTTGCATCATGGTTCAAGCTCCACTGTCAAACTTAATGGCAATAAAATGAGAGAAGGCAAAGGATAGTTCGTATTATTTTCTCCCTTTTCTTCCACCTTTTCTTCTATTTTTCTCTCTCGTTCTTTTGTCTTTAGGTACTTCTACCATAACGAATTCAGCGACATGCAGCAGCAGCCCAAGTCCAGCTGTCAGGTCAGTCCGTGCGCTCTGTGCGTAGGGTGGGCTCCTTTATAAAGAAGAATTCGTGAACATACTTTCGCCTTCGGGCACAGCGTTGGTTTTCCAGATCGGTAGAGCGCAGCGGTTCCTAGCGACAGGCTCCCGTTCAAAGCTTTTTTTTATATATATATATATCCGCGCCTGCAATGCAGAATCAGTTCTGCTCCGTTTTGCCGCTAATTACTTGCCGCTGGCTTTCTGTCAACACAAACAAAATAGGGTTTGCTGGGGGTTACTGGCTGACTCTTTTTCTCTCTTTTTCAAGTTTAGCAGTGCGACCTACGTCGTGCCTAGTAACATAACCAACCCCAACTCCCAGTCGTGCCGTCAGATAGGTAAACGGCCATTCGCGACCTGGTGTCCACTGAAAGGATTAAGGTACGATAGTGGTTCTTGGCTACTAGGTAGGTACCACTTTACTTGGGTAGCCGCCTGGGTAAATCATTCCAGTAATGGATGTTGCGCGTTAGATAAGTGTTGAACTGTGCACCCAAAGCGACTTAATGTTTGGTATTACCAACGGCCAGCAGGAACAAGAGGCGCGACAGATGCAGAGGAACTCGAGAGGTGTGAAGGGCTGGCGTCAACGGAATTGTAGCATCCAAGGTCCACGCTTCAGCTTGGAGGGAGCCACGAATAGACGCGTGTCAGGAGGTCCATTGTACGCAAATGGTATGTGAAGTACCTGCGTGGGCCGTGTAGGTGAGAAGATTTGGCAGTGATTTGGCATTGCTTGGTTCTCAGCTGGATGTGACCGAAGCCCACCATCTTGGTGGTCTTAGTGCCGCAAGACTGACCACAGCGGCCACGACTGGTGTGTGTTGAGTCAGCAACAACACCCTGGGGATTTTATGATCAACGCTCTCGAATTCATTGCCCTTTTACACACCAAACCTCACACTGCCCGGAATGCCCGGCCAAAATTGGGACCATGCTATCTCTGACCCCCTTTTGCTCGATGAGACTCGGAGAAGTCCACAAAAAAATGGCTTTGGTCTTGGGCTGCCTGAAGTCCCGTTGACGATCAATACTAACAATCTGATTACTTATTGATCTCACGACTAGATGTTGCACGGACGATTTGAGGGGGTGATTCTTGGGAAGAACCTCGCATTAGCGACATGGAGTCGATCCTGCCGGCAGCCAGGCCCGTAAACCCTCTGAAGAAAACAGGACCAGGATGTCACTCTGGGGTCGTCTTCGCTTCTTTGACGAATCGGGGTCCCTGGCGCAGACATGATCTCTCATCATGACCCCGGTTTGGAGCCGAGATCACAAGAAGAGCTCAACACCAACGGCACGGGCCTGCATATTTCCCCGCGAAAGGGCGCTTGACCAAAGAATCCTTCCCGAGTTCCTACGATCCTACGAGTCCCTTGCTTGCGGTTCGTGTCATTGCGATGAGTCCTTGGCTGGCTTTTAATGCGACCTGACCGCATGTGAAGATTCCATTTGACATCTAGACCAGTGAGCCACTCTCGACGATACCTAGGTATTCACGACAATGGGGCTTCTAGGCCGTCTTCCGGCTCTCGCGGCTGTGGCTGCGGCGTTTTCTATCACCACCGCTGAAGCATCCTACGCCGGAGGGGGTCTGACCATTTTGGCTCCAAGTGATGTCGATGGTAGGTGATTGAAACGGCGCTGATGGGGACGTTCCCTAGCTAAGATGTCAATAGGATCTGAGAATGACGGTTCTGCTGCTATCCTCGTCGGTCAGCCGGCTGATTTCGAAACCGGCCGTGCCACTTGCAAGCTTCTAGCGGAGGCGCCCTGGAGCCCGGAGCAAGCAGACTTTGAGTCTACGCTGAGCAAGGCACTGGGCTATCAGGAATATCAGGATCTCGCGCCCAAGGATCAGTTGTACTGGGTTTCCAAGGTCAAGTCATGTAAGAGCGCTTGCCGGGCTATCGACACTCAAGGCAAAACCCACGCTGTCAAGTGTGATGAGGAGCTGCCAATTCTCTGCACCCACAGCGCTCCCCTCTCAAGCAGTACCTCCGACAACACGTCGACAACCTGGCAAGTTCAGCAGACCGTGGGAAAGAAGGTGCTCACCGGCTACCGCGATTACCACGTTTGGAAATTCAGGGGTGTTCGGTTCGCCGACACCCCAGCACGATTTACGTACTCTAAGGCCGCCAGCTACGAGGACGAAGGAGAAGTGGATGCTCTGCTGGCAGGAGAGGACTGTCCACAAACAGTCGAAGACGCCGAGGGCGGAACCAGCAGCGAGGACTGTCTTTTTGCGAATGTGTGGACCCCCTACCTCCCGCCCACGGGGGGCGCCGACAAGAAGGAGTTGAAGCCCGTCATGGTGTACATTTATGGCGGCGCCTTCACGTCGGGGTCCAGCAAGAACGCGTACAAGGACGGCACCAACCTGGCAGCACGCGGCGATGTGGTGGTCATTGCGTTTAACTACCGCCTCGGATCCATTGGCTTCCTGAACCTGAACGATGGCGTCCACAACGGCAACTACGGAATCTCAGACCAGGTCACCGCGCTGGAATGGATCAGCAAGTACATCAAGTACTTTGGCGGAGACCCGGACAGAGTAACCATTTTTGGCGAGTCGGCAGTGGCCAGAGCATCCATATGCTCCTTCGGCATTGAGAAGGCCAAACGGCTTTTTCACGGGGCGTGATGGAGTCAGCGCCTGACTGCTGGCTGCTAACGAAGCTGGATAGGC